TTGCGTCGACAAGGATGCTTATGTTTATGATTGGCTCTTCACTCGGAGACAAAATGTGGTAAAAATATATCCATGTAAAGGCTAGTGTTCCAAAGTGGCATGCAATATTAGAGGGAGTCGTCCTAATAAATTGAGAATCAATGTTAAAAAAAATAATTATTTTCGACAGAGCTAACATTACTAAAATGTCAAATAATCCGTCTTGTAGTAGTCTAATTTCAGATCTAATATTGTGTGTCACCATAGCCACACAAAACATTACACGAGTTTATTTCTTTCAAATTTTATTTTCTAAATTGAAAGTCAATCATAGTACTAAACATACTCATCGCCGCAAATCACATAAGTGATTGACTGCACCCTTTAGAAATATATTCTTAGAAGGACATATTTCATATGATGTAAGATTTTTCACTATATTATCAAGTGCGCAGTCTAATTTCTACAAACAGAATGAAAATTCATATCAAAATCTAAGTTGTGAGTTCCAAAATAGAAATTCACTTTGAAATCTAATTTGCATTACTAGAATGGGAATTGCAATAATGAAATTTAGATTTTATTGTAAATTTCTTATAGATTTTCATTTGGAACTGATAATTTAGATTTCGAAGTGAATTTTCATTATGGATGTGGAAATTAGACTTCACATGGAGAATGCAGCGCAAACACTTACATCATATGAAATATTTCTTTATAAGAAAATTTTTTCAGGTGTGCAGTCAATCATGTAAGGGGTTGCAACGATGAGAATGTTTAGTTCTAAGATTGATTTTATAGTTGGAAATAAAATATAAAACAAATCTACTCATGATAGGGTTAAAGTAGCCACAATTGTAAGCAATAATAAAAAGTTATGAAGTCTAAATAAACTGTCGAAATTAATTTTTCTTAATACGAAAAAATAATTACCACTTGAAAAATTGACTGATTTTAATTTTGACTCAGATTTCTTTAGAGCCGACAATAATTAAGATTGAAATAAGAACGTTAACAACCTACTAAAGCTGTTAGGGTTGTTGAAGATCGATAATTGACAAATATTTTTCAATATTTTATCTCCAATCTTGTTTGTCACCACAGCTACACCAACTCATTCACGAGTATACTTCATTCACATTTTCTCTACAAGTGTAAAACCAGTGATTCGTATGAGATTTACGATTGGCATTTCACATGGAGATAAAATATGAAACAAATATATCTATGAGAGGGCTGGTGTAGCTATAATGACATTCACTATTAAAGGGAGTAGTCTTAATCAATTAAGAGTCAATGTTTGACAGTTTAATGATCTTCGACAAAATTAACATTACTAAGATGTTAAAAGATCTGACTTCGAGCCGAGATGATGTAGGTTCCAAATAAATTTGATATGTAGGTTCCAAATAAATTTGATAAAAAATTTTGGCTCATACCACGGCGTGTTTATTTCAGTTTGAGTTTCATGCGCGACTCAAACTTAAAATCAATTTTAGAGCGATTATCATTTTTCGAATTAAATCCTATTTTGGATTTTGCACGTACCTCATAATTTGATAATTATGAATTTACATGGTTTATTAAAACCCATTCGAACTAAATCCTGCTTTCAACTGAACATCCCATTAAATCTAAAGGCCAACATTCTGCGCCATAGAACATTGCAGGTCTCACCACCATTTTATAAAATTTTTCTTTAAATCTAAGCAGTATTTTCTATCATACAATAGGTTGGATGCATTCTTCCACTTCATCCAACCAACTTCAAATCTACTATTCACATCCCATCTATATAACCTAAACTTTGAACAAGAGGCCTGAGATATCTAAAACATTCACACCTTTTAATGATTTTATCACCCATAGTAACAACTTTGACATTAGAGCTACTATCACTAAAATTACATTTCATTTATGTAGTTCTAGATCTACTCAAACAAAGGCCTTTAGAATCTAGTGTTGACTTCTATAATAAAGAGACGTTTGGTATGATCTTTTTAATAGGATTTAAGTTAGATTTAATTAAAATCCAGCCAAACAGCAAAAATAAGTTCGATAAAATTATTGTAAAGTTAAATCCAATTTTGTTTATGTTTATTAAATTCAGATTTATTAAATCGACTTATTAGTTGGATTTCATTGATATAGAATAGAAAAAAAATATTTCAAATAGATTTATGTCGAACACCTCAAATGAATTTAATTGGATTTAACCTTCATTGAAACAAACACCTTAAATAAATTATGTCAAACACCTTAATTTATCTTAAAAGCTTCAACTTCTCTAAATCGTGTAAATAAATCCCGTAAATCACGCTTCCTATAAATTTTGGTATATCCTGGATTTAAGGCAAAATTTAAAGCAAAAATGGGATTAAGAATCTGTAGGATTTTCAGAGGCATTTTTTGTTGTTTGACAAGATTTAGCTTAAATTCTACAGAAATCCTGTACCGAACATCCCCTACACATTAAATGGATTTAACTGAATTTAACCTCAATTGAACCAACAATCATTTCAAATTTAATCATATTTAGATTTAATAAATGTGAATTTACGAGATTTAGTAAATCCTATTTAACTTTAATCTTACTGGCAACCAAACACCCTCTAGTCTCATCCACAAAAAGGATATCAACCGCCAAAGGCATACACCAAGTTACATCCTCATGTAAATGTTTAGTAAGAGTATCCATAACTAAAGCAAAACAATGGCTGGCTATACCTGTGAGCATCAGAGTGATGAAATCGTCAGAGTTAGGGATGTCAGAGGTAGGGGAGGTGCGTTTGTTGAGGTGCTGGAGTCGTCAGGAGAGAAGAGGGGAGGATTAGGGCACAGGGAGACACCAAGATAGAAAGAGAGAGAGAGAGAGAGAGAGAGAGAGAGAGGATTAGGGCAAGACCGGGGCCGTCGCAATTTTGGTGGCATAAAGAATTTTTTCTGATGGCTTATAAACGACATAAAATCCGCCAGTTATTAACATAAATTTTTCGTCGCTTATAAAAATATCTTGTCGGTTAACACCCCACCAAATGGCTTGTCGTAAATAATCTAAAACATAAAGTGTTATTATTTACTTATAACCAATGATAAAATACGTCAGTAATAATAAAAAACTGTCAGAACAATTTACTATTGAAAAACAACTACATGTCCTACTGTCATGCCGTCGAAAATAACTCATCACATAAACCGTCGCAAAACTGCCAAAAAATATGACATTTTTATCGAAGTAAGCTTATATCGCCAGTTTTAGTGTTTTTTTCTGTTGTAGTTGATGTTATGATGTGTGAAGCTTATGGAAAGAAAAGTTATTTGACTCATATAAGCATTGTAGATTTTGCTTAAATTGGGGAGAAAAATAGATGGAAGTTTAAGAATATATAGAAAATATCAAAAACTCTTTATAGAGAAGTATAAATGAAAATAATGAAATGTGATGGAAAAATTAAAATAATAATAGTGATAATAATATAAAATGTCTCACCAAGGAGGATGATTTTGAGTCACCAAACTAAAGAAAAAGGATAAGCCAACAAGTTTTCCCTAAAAAAAGAAGAGTAATTTCTATAGTTTTGATTTGAATTTATTAAAAAAATCCTGACATTATGAATTTGTTTGTATTTAAGAATATACAAACTAAGAGTAGATAAAATAACTCAATAATCTTCATATATTATGAAAAAGTTCATTAATACTCCTTGTAACTCGCTAAGGCTTCACTGATCTAGATCTAGAGAATGTTTAGCTGATTAATTGTTGCTCTAAACGGATGTTCATATTTAACTTAACTTCATTTTGATGGAAGAAATAAAGTAAGGCCACATAACTATGTGATATAACTAACTTCAACTTTGATTAAATATTAACTCGAGCGTAACATAAAATTTTTCTTAATTTTGCACAAACCTGAGCTCTAAATAAGTGGGAATGAAATTCCAACGTGAATGAAGGAAAGTGCATTAGTAACATTAATGATTTTTTTCTTTGTATATGATGTTAAAATAGGCCTAATTTTACAAAAAAGGAGAAGAAAAGTAAATGGTTCTCATTTGGTATCACATATGGTAGATATTGGGTAAAGGCTACAAATGTTATCTCATAATTTGCCATGATATTATCTCATTGAATGAAATATGCCAACTCTATTTACATCCAATAATATGTTGTTATTGCTTTGTACTTGTCTCAGGATGCCTCAACAAAAGTTTCCAACTAAATGTCCCATCGACAAAATTTTCCAACTAAATATCCCATCAAACAGTTCGCTAAAAAGTTGATCTTCTTATAGATCTATTCAGCTTTCAAACACTGACTCTATTTTATCAAGACAATTCTTTACTTTAAGCATTGTTATTTCTGCTACAAACTAGACTTGTTTCAATTCCGAAAACCACTTCAGCCATAGGTCTTCTAATTTCCTTGGGTTGCTCCCCTAACTTGTACACTTGTCTAGCCAATGTTTAGTAAATACTTCTAAGATAATTTTGATAATTTTAGGATCATTTGATGCACCTCATTGAGCCTCTTATTTGACCATAAAAAAAATAAGAATTGGGTGATGTGATCTTTCAAATGATGTTTTGTTTTAGTTTAATTTAGATTCATTTGAATCAAATTAAGGAATTCTTCGTATCATTTGTTTCGTCACAGTAAGTATGATGAAAATGAAATTTAAATAATCAGAAAGCTAATATTAGAAGTTTAGAACTTGAATAATTTGATCATTTAAAATCAAAATTGTGTGTCAAGATTCAAGCTTTAATAGAAAAACTTTTTAATGACTTACTAGTTTTATCTAAGAACATTTGTGTGAACCATCTTATTTTTCAATTGCTTATATCCATATGGTATGCCGCATCCAATGTAACAAGACAGAACTAGCAACCAAATGAGCTTCCAATATGTTCAGCTATTTATTTTCCATGTTGATATTTTTCTCAAAAGTCCCTAATATAAAACTAAATCTAATATTCCAATCTTTCAAATAATAATAAAAAACTCCTTCATGCATTCAGGTGGAATACCCAAAAGACATCTCCAAAACCTCCGATGAGAACTTCAAGCGCATGTTTTACACAAACTACAACTTCACCATCTCTATTTTCTGGTCTCCATTCCTAATAAGGGCCATGGAAACTGATCCACAAAGCTCATCACGGGTTAACTACATGTGGAACTTATACTTGGACGAAATAGACACTAATTGGGCAACCCAAATTGACGAGTTTGACTACTTGATCATATCTGCAGGCAACTGGTTCACCCGACCATCATTGTTCTTTGAAAAAGGTAAACTAATCGGATGCAACTATTGCGATCAGTTCAACAATGTGAGTCAATTGACCCTGCATTACTCTCATAGAGAAGCTTTTAAGACTGCATTTCGCACTATTAATAGTCTCGAAAAGTTCAAAGGTATCATTTTTTTTAGGACATTATCGCCTTCGCATTTCGAGAATGGAGAGTGGAATAAAGGAGGTAATTGTGTAAGACAAAGGCCATTTCAGCGTAATGAGACGACATTCGAGGGATACGAGTTTGAGTTTTATAAGGTTCAAATGGAAGAGTTTAGGGTTGCAAAAGACAAAGGAAGAAAAAAGGGGCTGGAGTACAGGTTGTTGGATACAACTAGGGCTATGTTGTTGAGGCCAGACGGGCACCCGAGCCGATTTGGCCATTGGGCTCATGAGAATGTGAGCTTGTATAATGATTGTGTCCATTGGTGCTTGCCGGGACCTATTGATGTTTGGAATAGCTTCTTATTGTATAATCTATAGCAGCCTAAAAATGAAGGCATTCAATTATCATGCCTACTTTGATGATTTTTTTTTTTTTTTTTGAGATGGCCAATGGTGTAAAAATTTATATTTTCTTCTAAATTTATAATCATTGATTAAAGTTTTCATTATGTGCAAAGGTCCCTCGCTATTTGTTGCTCTACATCGAGGTTCTTCATATATAATTTTTTGAAATTTATGGTTTTAAATGTAAATATTTCACTAGCTGAGGGTGACTATGTAATTTTGGTTTAAATATGGATGTCTAGGTTTGATTAAACACAATTACATTTCTTAAGGGGTCAAGTGAGTTTTCTTTTTTTCATAAGTTTTTATTGTTATATTATATTAATGTTATTTTTGTTATATTATATCATATTGTATTAAAGTAATAAGTTAACATAAAAATATGTTTTTTTTATTGAAAATTATATAATTTATTTTCTGGTTAATCCCGCAGGCAAGTGAGCGCTGGGCGGGTTTGGCAGACAAGCTGAGCGTATTCAGTTGGCCAGGGGACAAATTTTACAAATAATGAAATCACTTAAAAGCTTTTTTTTTTTTTTAGTGTTTTAAAATAATTTGATTTATTCTTAAAAATAAAATAAAATAAATTTAGTTACAAATTATTTATTACCTATGATTTTACCAAATTAAAAAATAAAAATGAATAAATTAAAATTGGGGCATTTACATGTGTCTCACCTAATTCTTATGTATTTATATATCTTAAATTTAAACTTTAAATTTTATATTTATACCACCTAAATATTTCATAACACATCCAACATATCATCATTTTAAGTTTTAAAAGGTGAAACACACATTTTTGTACATACGTGTAATGGAAGTTTAGGTGTACATATGTAAACATATAAGAATTGAGGGGTAGGTATGAAATCTTCCTAACATTGTATTTTACTTTTTAAGAAGATGTAGATGATGATATTTTTGATTTGATGTTAAAACTTTAAGTGGCAGGCATATAAATATAAGAGTTTGGGTATTAGATATGTAAATATATAAGAATTGTGGGGTATGTATGGAAATGCTTCCATACCTTAATTAACTAAAATACTTATAATCTAATGTTGGGTATTAATCTCACTTGGAATTTTACAAGCCATTTATCCCCCAACGAACCCCATGTGGATAATTTGTGGCAAGGCTCGAACACGTGACCTGCAGGGTCTTACAAACGCTTCTAACCAATGAGCTATGGCGGCATGAAAGTACTAAATGTTGTTATTATGACATAGGGTTTATTTGCGGCAGCTGCACCTGACTGAAAAAAATAGATTTGAAATTATTGCAAAAGAATCAATGGGCTATGGTTCATAAGAAATTTTATCTCAACTCCATAACCTTGAAGCTGCTCTTGCTTTGTTGAGAAAAAAATGTCTATGAACCCTTCAATACAAATCCATAAACTTGAAGCTGCTCTTGATTCAAAGCATGAAGAAAAAGAATCCAATAGCTATAAACCATTATTAACTAAATTTTAGGTGAACCACCAATGCATAGGATTTGTGCATGGAACCATGCAAGTGGCTGGTTAGAAACTGTTGTCTATGGCCTGAATTTTGATATAATTGAAATGTTTGGTTAGAAATTTGTTATGACAAATTTAATTGTAATTATAGGTCCAAACTTTTAATCAATATTGGATTATTTTGATTGGACAAGATTCCATGATTTTTTTCCATTCAAGAAAATTTTCAAGTAAAAAATATGTCTCCTACCACTATATTTATTAAATATATGTGTCTGTGTTGAATCTTTGTACAATACAAAAAAAAAAAAATTAACACTTTACTTCATGAATCTTTCAGCACTAGCAAAATAGCGACATTATGTTAAACGATCCAACGTAGAGATGAGATAATGTAGGTTCCAAAAAAATTTGATATGTATGTTCTAAATAAATCTAATCCAAAATTTTGGCTCGTACCTCGATGTGTTTATTTCATCACAAGTTTCTCGTGCAAGTTAAACTTAGAATCAAATTTTCAAGAGATTATCATTTTTTGTACTAAATCATATTCCAGATTTAGCACGTAACCCATGATTTAATGATTATGGATTTACAGAGTTTATTAAATCTCATTCAAACTAAATCTTGTTTTCAACTAAACAAACCCTTAATCTAAAGACCAATATTTTGGGTCAAAGAACATTGCAGCTCTCACATCCATCTTATAAATTTTCCTTTAAGTCTAAGCAGTATTTTCTATCACATAATAGACTGGATGCATTCCTCCACTTCAACCAACTTACTTGAAATAAACTAATTAATCACATAACCATCTATATCACCATCATTTTCAACAACATACCCGAGATATCTAGAAGGTTCACACCTCTTAAATGATTTGATCACTTGTAGTTACAACTCTGCCATTAGAACTACTACTACTAAAATTATAGTTCAAGTATTCAATTCTAGATCTACTCAAAGAAGGACTTTAGGATCCAACATCAACATCCATAATTTAAAATTTTCCTAAACACTTTTTCTAGTCTTGTCTACAAGAAGGATAAGATCGGTGAAAAGCATACACGAAGGTGCAGTCTCTTGTAAATTTCTAATAAGAGCATCCATAAATATAACAAATATATATATATATATATATATATATATATGCTTAAATCCAATCCCTGATATAATTACGGTCCTTAATGATCCGCTTTTGAGGCAAGCTGGGATTGGCTCGAAAACGGCTCGAAAAAAATTAGATCCAAATTTTGGTTCGTAGCTCGGCTCGTTTATTTTGATATGATCTCGATACGAGTCAAAATTCAAATCAATTTTTGAGCAATTAACGATCTTCGAGCTAAATTTGTCAAATTTAAAGTTATATGTTGTTAACAATCTGATTTCGAGCTGAGCTGGAGTTGACTCAAAATCAAATAAAAAATATTCGAGCCAAGAGTTTGGCTCACAGCTCGGCTCGTTTATTTCGATCCGATCTTGATTCGAACCAAAATTTGAATTAATCTTCGAGTGATTAATGATCTTTGAGCTAAATTCTTAGCCTTAGATATAATCAAACTAAAATAGGAAAATATTAGCAAACCTCCTAGTTACTAAGCCCTAGACCTTAAATGCTTTCTTAAAAACAAATGAAAATAAAGATAACAATTTACCTTCCTCGGCTGTTTGGGGTAGTAGAAGAGCAGAACGAGGAGAAAAATGGAGTTTCCGGTCACTGTAAGCAGTGATCCCGCCGTTGCGTTCCCAACTGGCTCCTATTTTGACTTTATTGCGAAGGTTTTGAGGTTGAAGGCAATGGTTTTGGAGGAACAAAGAGGAACATGCGAGAGTCTCAGGGAGGAAAGATTAGGGCGAGACCGGAAGGAAGGTGATTTCAGGCGGGATATAGGATTAGTTCTGACATTCTATAAATTGCTTTTATTGCGTGTGTTATTAATACTATTATTGATGGTTGTTCCTGTCGTTTAATAATAAAATGCATTGGTTAAAACCTCACTAGATGGCGGGCTCAAAGATAACCGACAAACTATTGTCGTTGGTTAATATTTGTTTATAACCGATGTGTTATTCTATCATTTATATTTAAAAATAGTCGATAAACAAAATACTGCTGATAAGAGATGGTATATGTTGTCGTTATACAGTTGCAAATAAGCAAGATCAAAAACAATCTCAAGACCGTCGGTAATTAGAATAAATTTCTGACGAGTAAAAAGCCATCAGATTTTCCATCGTTTTAAGCGTTTTTTCTGTAGTGCTTTCATTAGCAATGTTGATCCATCTCTACATAGATCGCCATGATTCTCACATACTTTATCTTCTTCTATACGTTGATGACATCCCTTTAACTGGGAATGATATCTCTAAAATGCAACAACTTCAACAAGACTTACAAAGCCATTTCTCCATGAAATTTTTTTATTCCGTCTCCATTCTTCTTGACACCAATGTTAATCGAACCTGGTATGGTTACCATCTCAACCAAACTAACTATGATAATGTGATCTTAAGTCATTCAGAAATGATGACATGCATATCGACACCTACTCCTCAGCCTATTTCCACTAAACATTCCACTGATTTTACTGATACATTTTCAAATCCATCTTTGCATCGGTAACTTGTTGGATCACTTCAGTATCTTACTTTGACGAGACCCGATATTTTGGTTGTCGTCAATTTTCTTTTCCTACATCTTCAAGCTTTCAAGCTCCGCTCTAGCATCATTATCAAGAGCTGACGCTTCTCTTCAAGTATTTACATCGCACTTTAGACTTTGGTCTACCGTTCCAAGCAGAAGCATTTACTCTCCACATCTTTGTTGATGCAAGTTGACCTAACGATGTGACTGATCAACATACTATAACCGCTTATTGCACCTTTGTTGGTCATAATCTTCTCTCGTGGAAAGTGAAAAAGCAACTTATAGTTGCTCAATCCTCCATCGAAGTGGAATATCATTTCATCTCTCTAGCAATAAAAGATGTTATATGGCTGCGACGACTGCTACATGACTTTCAACTTTCCCTTCCCACTGCTACAACTATCTACTATGATAACATGTATGTCATGGCTATTGCTCAGAACCCAATCATTCATGCTCAAACCAAACCTATTGAAATCGACTATCATTTTTTTCGTGATCACATCAACTCCAACGAGATTATATTATAGTATTTTTCTTCAGATGACCAGATAACTTCACTAACGCTCTTTCACTAACGCTCTTCCTACTCCCAAATTGTGCACTCTTCGTACCAATTATTATTAGTTTATAGACGGCTAATAATGTAGTAGAATGATATAATTTATGGGCTTATTTATGGGTTTTCTAGCTATAGTTTAATTATCATAATATATTAAGATTATTATCTATATATATCTGTCTACGTATTTGTATCCATTGAGATATGAATAAAGTTTTCTCTCCTTTCATGTATTTTTTTCTTCATTTTGTTTCAGAAGTGACATACATAAAAGTATTAATTCCGAAGACTAAAAATGAATATAAAATTACTGAAAATGGAGCTTCATATGATCTTAAATTTAAATTTGAAATAATTATTATTAAGAAAATATCAAAATTCACGGTACATAAATTTTTTTTGATGACAAGCTTCATGAAAAAAATAATAATAATATTAAACTTGCATCCTTTAACAAGCATTAGACGGGCTCAGACTAGGAAAACCAAGCAATAATTCGAACAACGGCTGCTACTCCGAATTAAAACAAGGATAAGCACACGCCTAAACCTCTTCTTCCCTTCTGTTATTTTTAGGCCATTCTATGAGGAGCCTCGAAAGTCTCCCATCAAATCCTCTCCACCTCTCCTTCTCCCTCTCCCTCTCCCCGTCTCCATATCCTCACATAATTCCTTGTTCTACAGAAGAATTCCATGAAGCCTCGCCCCATCGAGCTTCCCATCGGGAGGCTGCCCTTCCTCAATTTCTTCTCTGTTCTGAAAGTTTTCTTCCTCACGGCTCTCCTCGTCCTCTTCCTCAATGTCACCTTCACTCTCTACACCAATGTTTCTACACGTTACTACACCTATCCTCATCCCCCTTTCTTAAGGATTACTTCATCCTCCACCTTCTCCTTTTCTTCTTCCTCCACTTTTTTCTCCACTTCTTCCTCTCATCATGATCCTTGTTCAAATTCTCCTCCATCTCCTTCTAATCCTTCCTCCCTTATTCAATCATCCCCACCTTCATCTGATTCATTGCCTTCTTCTTCCTCCTTCTCCTCTTCCAATCCAAAACCAACATCTATTGATAAACCTTCCTCCTCATATTTAAACTCGAGTCTGCCATCATCCTCATCATCTTCTCCTCCAAATTTAAGAGGTAAGAGGAAGGTATTAGTGAAAGGTTGCGACTTGTCGAAAGGAGAATGGATTCGGGATCCGAAGGCGCCATACTACACAAACTCAACGTGTTGGACGATACAGGAACATCAAAATTGCATGAAATATGGAAGGCCGAATCTGGATTTTTTGAAGTGGAGGTGGAAGCCAGATGGGTGCGAGTTGCCGCTCTTAGAGCCGGCGGAGTTTCTGGAGTTCATGAGAGGGAAGAACTTGGCTTTCATTGGAGACTCCTTGGCAAGGAACCAAATGCAGTCTTTGATGTGCCTTTTATCTAGGGTAAGCAAATTTACATGCATTTGCCATTATGATTAACATATATATATATATATA